CTGGAGGAAAAAAAAAAAGAAAAGAAAAAAGCGAGAAAGAGAAAGCGAGAAAGAGAGAAAACAAGAAAGAGAGAAAGCGAGAGAGAAAGCAAGAGAGAAAGTGAGAAAGAGAGAAAGCAGGAGAGAAAGCAAGAAAGAAAGTGAAAGAAAGAGAGAAAGAGAGAAAGAGAAAGACAGAAAGACAGAGACACAGAGAGAGAGAGAGAGAGAGAAAGAAAGAGAGAAAGAAAGAGAGAAAGAAAGAAAGAAAGAAAGAAGAAAGAAAGAAAGAAGAGAAAGAAAGAGAAAGAGAGAGAGAAAGAGAGAGAGAGAGAGAGAAAGAGAGAAAGAGAAAGAGAGAAAGAGAGAGAGAAAGAGAGGAGAGAAAGAAAGAGAGAAAGAAAGAGAGAAAGAAAGAAAGAGAAAGAGAGAAAGAGAGAAAGAAAGAGAGAAAGAAAGAGAGAAAGAGAGAAAGAGAGAAAGAGAGAAAGAGAGAGAGAGAGAGAGAGAGAGAGAGAGAGAGAGAGAGAGAGAGAAAGAAAGAAAGAAAGAAAGAAAGAAAGAAAGAAAGAAAGAAAGAAAGAAAGAAAGAAAGAAAGAAAGAAAGAAAGAAAGAAAGAAAGAAAGGATTGGCAAAGAAGTATTTGCCAATCAGTTATGAGAATTTATTTTGGCAACTGAAAAAACAGATAACAAAGTAGATAAGCCCTGGCACTCTTTCAATCCAATCACATCACAACACAAATAAAAACCAGTAATGAAACTGTGCTGGTACTAAGCCTCCATGCTGGAAAGTCTAAGCATAATTTTAGGGAAATATGGTGGTGTTTTTGTTTTCGTGGTTTTTGTTCATTTTTTTGTTTCATTTTGTTTTGTTTTGAAACATTTATTCAAAGCACAGTATCATAGAATCATAGAATTATTAAGGTTGTAAAAGATCTCCAAGATCATGGGTTCTAATAGTTGCTTAATTTACAAGAGGTGTTATTAGTTGCTTAATTTACAAGAGGCGTTATTATCTACATCCATAATTATATCTTGAAAGAATACATCACTCTTCATCTTGAGAAGTTTTCAGATTTTTAATATTCAAAATGGGAGACTGAACTTCATTTTCTTATCAGCAGTGGTTTATATTGGGTGCAGGTGGAGTTGCCACTTGTTTCTTTCTTTCACTGCTGGCTGCAGAAGTGGGTGTTATGTGGGCACACAGGGCAGCCAGGCTGACAAAGTCATCCCATTAATACAGACACCCTACCTAGCTTCTTGTGCATGGAACTGGAACAAAGCAGCACACCTGATTTTTCATTTAGAGCTGTAGGTTAATTATCAAGCTGGAATTTATTCTTTGTCAGTTGAGTTGTAGCTCCTGCTAAGGTAGGGTATAATGCCTACACAGCAGCACACGGCCCCTCTTCCCAGTTGCTGACAGCAGGACACGAAAAACAAGGCTGTACAATTGCGACTGGTAACTCCTTGACCGAATAATGTAATTAGAGTAATTAGAGTGCAGCGAGCAGGTCATATCTGAACAACATACTATTATGAAAAATGACTGACATTTTTTAAAGCCATGTATAATTTCCAATTTCTTATATAACTCTGCATTTGTTCACACAGAAAAAAAGAGGAAGCTGAAAACTTCAAAATACAACAGTCCTTAGTATAGGACAGTCAGTCATTTTTGTCTTATTTCAGAGCATTCAGGTCTTAAAAACATTCCTGTTAACTCTGAGACTGATAAACTCACTTGGTCTCCAACTAGTACTATCCTATATAATATGTATCTCTTAACAGAAGAATTGTGAAGGAAAACAATAAATGCAAACTTTACATTCAAGCCCTCTTTTGGGCTTGGAAAACAGTAAATGTTTATTTGCCTTTTGATCAGTACACACTGCAGCTGGTAAAAGAAGTTCAGTGTATAGGAGACAGAGACCTTGGGGAAGGTGTCTGCCAAGAGTATTTTAAGAGGTGCTTATCATGACCCATTTAGAGGTTTTTCCACTTTGCTCTTTCACAGTCACATTTTGATTTAGATTGAAACACTTCTGCAGGAAATTCTAATTCATTTTCTCTATACAATTTTAAGTCATGGATTTGCAATATTCATACTATTGTCATAAACTTACAATAGTACCTTAATCCATAGCTATGAACAATAAAAATGCAATTTTATTTTTATTTTTTTTTTGACTTCTACATTACTTACCAATGGTTTGGAACACCTTTCATTTGTGTGCCTAGAACATGAGCTCTGGAAAGTAAGCTTTTGTATTCCAGGATAGTAATGCAAATTAAATTCACCTCTGGGCAAAGAGATGGCACAGAGTGTATGTGTAATATGAGAACTCATTGTGCATATTAAATATGCCCCCGTGCTAACTCTTAGAGACAAATTTCATCCTCAACAAATGATACTTGCACAAACTGCACAGTGACACATTAATGACTCCTCATGTGTATTATTATTTATCACTATCCTATTAAGAGGCTACACAAAAATATTTACCACATATCATTTCTTACTGTGTTATTAAACACAGAAACAACTGGATTTGGTGGCAGTGAGAAATTGTAAGTTCTCACATGTAGTGGAAATGTGGTAGTTTTAACTTTCAAAAATTGAAAGAATTGAAAGACTACTGGACTGCTTTGGGTCACTGCCACATAGTATCAGGAAATGCAGTGCAGTCTAAATGAAGTTAGTCACTTAAAGCATATTGTAGATTCAGAATGACTATTATAACTCAGAAAAAAAAAAAAAAAAAAAAAAAAAGTTTTGAATTTCATCCACTTTCCTTGAGTCCTGTTTTTCAGAGCTACCATAAAATGGTACTAACCACTTCAGGAATATAGAATCATAGAATCAGTCACAGAATCCTAGAATTGCAGAGCCATACAACAATTTTACTTGGAAGGGACTTTAAAAAACATCTAGTTCCAATCCCTCTGCCATTGGCCAGGATGCCTTCTACTAGACCAGGTTGCTCAAAACCCCATCCAATGTGGCCTTGAACACTTCCAGGGATGGGGCATCCACAGGTTCTCTGGACAACGTGTTCCACTGCCTTACAACCCTCTCAGTAAAGAGCTTTTTCAAAATACCTAGTCTAAATCTCCCCTCTTCTAGTTTAAATCCATTACCCCTTGTCCTATCATTTTCTGCCCAAATAAAAAGTTGCTCTTCACCTCCCTCAGCCTGATGACCACACTTCTTTGGATGCAGGCCAGGATACGATTAGCTTCCTGGGCTGCAAGAACACATTGCTGACTCATCTTCATATTTTTATCCAACAACACTCCCAAGTCCTTCTCTGTAGACTGCTCTCATGCCCCAGCCTGCCTTCATTTTTGGGATTTCCCCAGCCCAGGTGCAGGACTTTTCACTTGGCTTTGCTGGACTTCGTGAGTTTCGCACAGGCCCACATCTCAAGCCTCTCAAGGTCCCCCTCCTCCTGCATCCCTTCCTTCCCACATGTCAACCTCATCACTAAGCTTGGGTTGACTGCCAGCTTGCTGAGGGTGCTCTCAATCCCACTGCCCACATCAGTAACAGATGTTAATAGCACTGGTAGCAGTGCTAGCCCCTGAGTGAAGGTTGGTGGTAAAGAATGAAGGAGAGCACTCATCACTGGTATCCATCTGGACATTAAGCTATTGACTGCAAATCTTTGAATGCAAGTATCCAGCCAATTCCTTACCCACTGCATGCTCCAAATGTCATGTCCATGTCTCTCCATTTTAGTGCTTTGCACAAGTTGGGATAGATGATACCAATTGCTCTGCCCCTATCCACCAGTGCTGTAGCCCCACTGTAGAAGGCTACCAAGTTAGTCAGGCATGATTTGCCCTCGGTAGAGCCATGTTGCCTGTCACAAACAACCTCTCTGTTTTCCATTTGCCTTATGTGGATGCCTTCCAGGATGATCAGCTCAATGATCTTGCCAGGCAGAGACGTGAGACTGAGTGGCCTGTAGTTTTCTGGGTTTCCTTTTTTTCCTTTTTAAAAACCTATTTTATGTTTTCGCTTTTCCAGTCTCTAGAAGCTTCACTGGACTGACACAACTTTTCAAAGTCTATGTATACTGGCTTAGCAACTTTATCCACCATTTCCCTCAGGACCCTCAGATGCATTTTATTGGGCCCCATGGACTTGTGCACATTCAGGTTCCTTAGGTGGTCTCCAACCTAATCTTCTCCTGTAGTGTGTATTACCTCACCCTCCCAGTCCCTTCCTTCTGATTCTGTGAAATGGGTCCATTGCTGGTGAAGACTGAAGCAAAAAACTTGTTGAGTATCTCAGCCTTCTCCATGTTGGTTGTAGCCAGGTCTTCTGTTTTGCTCATTGGGGCGGGGCAGGGGTACAGTATCTATTATCATCCTTTGATGTCCTATGTACTTGAAGAAACGCTTCTAATTATTTTTTTACATCTTTAGCCAAGTTCAGCTGCATCTGTGCTTTGGCTTTCCTGGTCCCCTCCCTTCACTCCTGGGCCATACCCCTATAATCTCCCCAGAACATTTTTCCCTGCCTCCACTGCCTATCCATTTTGTTTTTGTATTTTAGTTTGGCTAAGAAGTCTTGAATTTGCCAAGATAGTCTCTTCCCTCCGTTGCCCAACTTCTTGCAAGTTGGACGAAGAGCTCTTGTGCCCTAAGAAAAATGTCTTTAAATATCTCCCAGATCTAATTAGCTCCTTTATCTCTGATTGTTCTGCCCTAGAAATGAACCACATTGAACCAACAGTTTGTTTAGAACTTCTTTCCTCGTAACTTATAATGCACACCTTTTGTCTTCCTTTCAGTGTAGTTCTGCATTGACCACTCCAAAGGAAAACACGTTCCAGTTTTCCTGTAGATTAGGAAACAAGTTGTGTGAAATAGGGCCTATTGAGAATTCTGATTACATTTAGAATGTTCAGAGTAACTCAAACCTTCTAAAAAGCATATTGGTTTATTTTCTTTATAATACACTATAAAATATAAACATTCTGAGACTGATTTTTTTTTTCCCCCAGTGTTTCAGCAGAACAGCAAGCAATGATGCCTCTATCTTACCATGGTTTCCTACTAACAGGTAACATGTCAGAAGTTTTACTTATTTCTCATAATCTGTTACAAAGAAATATTCTTAGTAGATGTATGATAATTAGTATTATAGTATGTGGTACTAGTCATGCATTTCAGAAGTGTTTTAATTTCTGAAAGAATTTACTTATTTTATATTCTGTCTCTCTTGTAATAAAGCCAAGATTTTGTATAGTTTTGCCAAGGATTTTGGTACTACAATAAGTACACTGAACTCTGTCTAATCTCCTGATTCCTGAGGGAGACTTACTCATATCACAAGCCCATCTCTGTGATGCCAATTACATTCATAAAATTAAAATGCCTGTTACTCCAACTGAACACAGCTGCCAAATAATAAAATTAAGAGTAACATTGTGCATCTGTCAGCCTATTTTGACTTACATACAGTTGTGCATATTTTGTCTTTAAGGATAATTTTATACTGTTAAATTGATTTTTTGGCTACTTTTTCTGTTTGGATTGCCCAGCTCTTGTTCAGTTCCATGCTGTTTTCCTCTGAGACTAATGACTTGGTTATTAGGAGCAGAGCGAAGAGTACAAAACAAAAACAAAAACAAAAATCCTTTATAGGGTACATGGGGTGTTGTGTTTGTATGGGAATTGCCATCAGTGTGCAGTGTTGGTATTCATCAATGCACAATGCACATTCCATCAATGTGCAGTGAGGTATTCTGAGCAGAAAATAAATTAACCTTTTAATGGGAACTAATGTAATTCACTGATACTATTCACAAATCTTCAAACTGGCTAAAGAAGCAAAACCCTCATGGGTTTTGTGACACCCAAGAAAACCCGAGGAACGCAAGGAAATATAATAAAAGTTTTAGCAAATTGAAAGTTTCTCTCTTTTTTTCCCATAAGTTGTCAGAAATTCCTTGTGGAATTCCTTAAACTTAAGCCATTAAGTTTACCTGGCAGCACCTCAGTGAGCTTGTTGTTACTCTCATTATTTGCTCTGTGTTGTCTACAGAGTTGTAGCCATATCTGTATTCTGAAGCCAGCATTGTGACCCCTCCTGACCTCACCCAAGGTGATGCTTAGGCACTGAGTTGGTCCGTGCCTTCTGCTGTGTCTTGCTGCACCTTTTAATTATTTATTTCAGCAATCTTCACAATTTTTTTTTATATATCCTGAACACCACCCTTGCTTTTACACAAACTTACCTTACTCATATACTCTAGCCACCACCAACTTAATGTAAACGTGGTTGGTCTCTGCTTGTATGAACCCCAAAATTTAGGTTGGCATCATACTCTGCAGCTATGCACTGAACATTCCCCTTGTCCCTGTTGGCTTGAGAAGTCTGCCAAACACTCTTGTCAAACACTCTAGTCAAAAGCAGTAGCTTGCTAACATATGCTATAGCCCCTCCAAAGCTACTTTAGCCTGAAAACCTTGCATAGAGTTAACAGTCTGGTTAGGTGACATGAAAAAGCCAGTATGCATTTTTAACATACTCTCTTGTAGCTTTTTTAAGGTTTCAAGTTTGTTTTCATCTTTTGCTTAGAGATATGCCAAGATAACAGAGAGGTCCAGAAGTACAGTGCTGCAGCTAAGGCTTTTCATCAGATTACATTTGCGCTGGGGATGAAGGAGCTAATAGACACCAACACAACAGCACTTCTTTCAACCCATTCATGCTATCTTTAGTAATTTTGTTTCTCCTATACAACAATTTAATCCTTAAAATGAATTCTACCGCTCCACCAGGTACCAATTTTATTACAGTTTGCATTTTCATCGTATCTCTGAGACACTAATCTCAATACCACTTGGAGGTCTAGTTCAGTAATGACTAAAAAAATAAATAATATCAGTATTAATGTCAGTAACAATGACAATAATAATAAATTGTAGTAAGGGCATAAATTCTGACATCAAGCTTGCTTTAGTCTGAATGACTTTTTAAACCTATTTAGATAACTGTACCTTGTTTGCTTACACCACTTATAACCCAAGAAACCAAAACCAAGCCTGAAGTTTATTCCATCAACTTCGACCTGCCAAGTCACAGTATCACTTTAGCAGAATCTGGCACCAGAATTTGGCTAGTGCTAGATCTTGCTGCTTCTAGGTCTCAATTGTATGTGTTACACACCAAAAGTCACAGAAGCACAGAATGACCGAGACTGGAAGAGATCTCTGAAGATCACTTAGTGCACCCCCCCTGCTGAGCAGGATCACCTAGAGCACATTACACAGGATGACAGCCAGGTGGGTTTTGAATATCTCCAGAGAAGGAGACTCCACAACCTCTCTGGGCAGCCTGTGCAAGTGTTCTGTCACCCTCACAGTAAAGTGCCTCCTAATCTTGGGCCTAAACATCCTATGCTTCTGTTTGTGCCTATTGCCTCTTACCTTGTCGCTAGGCACGACTGACAAGTGACCAGCTCCATCCTTTCAGCAGCTTCCCCTCAGGTATTTATACACATTGATGAGATCTCCCCTCAGTCTTCTCTTGTCCAAGCTAAAATGGTCCAGCTCTCTCAGCCTGTCCTCGTATGACATGTGCTCCAATCCTCTGATCACCTAGTAACCCTCCTCTGGACTTGCTGCTGTAGCTCCATGTCCCTCCTGTGCTGGGGAGTTCAGAACTGGACACAGTTCCAGGTGTGGCCTCACCAGGTCTGAGGATCACAAGATCACTTCCCTTGGCCTTATGGCAATACAACAAGTCTTGTATCACTGACTATATTTACTTTTTTTCCTGTGTTGGTGATTTTTTTTTTTTAAATATCAAACAAGTACAAAGGGACAATGGATAGATATTTCTGTTAAAAATGTATCGTTAACAAAAGTGATCAATGCTGAAAACATTTTCCTTTTGAGATGTCTTACGAGTTTTTATTCTAAATTAGTACATATTTTTGGATAATCAAAAATAATTTAAAAAAATGTTAAAGTTTATAATTGTGAAAAAAAATAATTCTTTAAATAAGTATTAAAAAACATCATTGAAAATAAAAGATTTAAACTCTACTGAAGGGAATTACAAAACAAAAAATGTTTCTAAAGTACGACTTTAACTAAATCTTCATGAAAGTTTGTTTTGTTTTGTTTTGTTTTGTTTTTGAGTTAAATCCAGCTGGTCATGAATGGTGTTGCCCAGGGGTTGGTGTTGGTGTCCATTCCCTTTAACATCTGTCTTGGTGATTTAGACAGGGGAATGGAGTGCACCCTCAGTAAGCTTGCAGATGACACCAAGTCATCTAAAATGGATGACTTGGACAAATCCAAGAGGAAGTGTCAATCTGGTGGAGGGTAGGAAGGCCCTGCAGAGGGACCTGGACAGGATAGTTTGATGGGCAGAGGCCAATGGGATGAGGTTCAACATGGCTAAGTGCCGGGTCCTGCACTTTGGCAACAACAACCCCATGCAATGCTATAGGCTTGGGGCAGAGTGGCTGGAAAGCTGTGCTGAGGAAAAGGATCTGAGGGTGTTGGTCAATGCACATCTGAATATAAGCTGTCAGGGTTCCCAGCTGGCCAGGACGGCCAAGAGCATCCTGGCTTGTATCAGGAACAGTGTAGCCAGCAGGAGCAGGGAGGTGGTTGTCCCCCTGTACTCGGCTCTGGTGAGGCCACACCTCAAGCACTGTGTTCAGTTTTGGGCCCCTAGCTACAAGAAGGACATTGAGGCCCTGGAGCATGTCCAGAGAAGGGCTACGAAGCTGGTGAAGAGCCTGGAACTTAAGTCCTGTGAGGAGTGACTGAGGGAACTGGGGTTGTTTGGTCTGGAGAAGAGGAGTCTCATGGGAGACCTTATTGCTCTCTACAGGTACCTGAAAGGAAGGTGAGGAGATGGAGGTTTTGTAATGAAAGATCAAATTACAGTCACTTGTATTTACCTTAATTGCTAATGGCCACATGCTTGGTAATGGAGACAGGAGACAAGGCTACTCAGATCTTTCTTCTGTTTAGCAGAGTGTGGTTAATTTTTCATTCATGATACTGTAGAAATTATTATTATTATTATTATTATTATTATTAATAATAATAATAATAATAAAGTAGAAAACTAGTTACTAAATATTATTCTTCAAGTACATTGCAGGTATTATCTGCAGAAGACTCTGAATTTATGTCTGGCAGCAGTACAGGACCTGGAGATATATATTGTCCATGCAGTTAATCTTGAATATGTTTCAGTTAAAATGTTCAAGTTCTCTTTGTACTCTTTCTTACCTGCAGTGATGTGGAAAACTGAAGATTTTTTATCACTTATATATACATTAATTAAGAACTTGAATCTCTTATAAAAGTGTATCAAAGTATTCAGAAATCTCATAAGGCTGTTATGATTCTATATTCTTTCTTGACTGTCACTATTTCCTAAGCACATTGTCCTCACACTAAGAAGGAAAAGCATGAAGACAGCCCATTAATTTTGTCCATTAACTTTGAGAATATTTTTCAATCCTTGTACCACTTTTTCAAATATGAAATTCTCTTATCATGCTACTTGCAGTCTGTGAAGATTTCAGATTGGGTGCTTTAAGGTAAATGCTTAATTCTTCACCATTACAGCATTGAGAAACAGAGAACCAAAGCTCATTTGCAGGTCTCAGTTGTTCTCCACAGTAAAGCCTGTGTCTGACAAGTTCCACATTTTGCATAATTTTCTTTCTAGCACAAAATGTACAAATGAGACTCGAAGCTTCCTGAAATAGAGAAATTATTTATATCTTCTCAGAAAGCAAAAATTGTGATGGGATTTCACTTAAAGGTTCCCATAAAAAAAAAAAAAAAAAAAAAAAAAAGTGGAAAACCACCCTGCCTAGGCTGAAACACAATTGGTGACTATCTCACCATGATGTAATGACAATCATGAAACTAGGTCTTACCCTGCAAGCAGTTTTACAGTATCTGCAGTAGAAGGGAGAACAATGCTTGTTAGAATAGGGATGGGCCCCAACAACTGTCTCATATATTTAAGCTGAACACCAGTTGGGGGATAGGAAAGGAGAAAACATGGACCATATTAAAGGAATATGGTAAAAAAACAATAAATGCAAAATTGCAGTATTGCATAGTTAGCAGTTCTTTACTGAATGGGATGCAGCTGCAAGGATCATTAATCCTCTTTAATTCTTTGCCAATCTTGGTGTTACAGAAGCAGTGGGAGTAGTGCTACTGGAAGCTGAATGTGGATATTAATTTTCCTTTTGTAATTTCCTGTTTCATTTGTATTCAGTAGACTACAGTTGCATACAAAAGAGGAAATGAGACTTCAACAAGATATAAAACAAACAATGATATATATATTTATAAAAGAGATAAAATAGCTCATAAACACGAAGAACTGCCTGAACCACACTCACTTTTTTATCTCTATTAGAAATGTCTCAGATTTACATCATTTCACAACAAATATCTTTCTTTCCTTTATGTATGTCCTTTCTGGTTCTCAAAATGCCAGAAAGCCATCAATAGATTCTTTTCTCTTTTTTACTCTCCCTGCTAGTAAGGGAGAGTATCCCTATCCTCTAATAAGCACAATGACATTTATATCAACACATACTCCAGGTCTTCCTTTTCAGTTAATCTACAGTTCCCTCTAGGACTCAACAGGAATATTATATTTTTGCTATAATTTAAAAAGTGACTCTGGATACCTCAAATAGGACTGAGTAGTTCTGTAATCTTTCTTTTAATCCTTTGTCTTTGATGACTACAAATCATCAGGTTCAGATGCCGAATTACTTTAAATTAAACTTTTTTTCCTAGGACTGAGGTTTGGCATGAATATATCAATGACACCTTATTGTCTACAGCTCTGACAGCAATCTGGTCCAAAATCTGCAGTTCCCAGACAAACTACTCACCAAGTGTTGAGTAAGGGATGTTAATATGCAAAGTTGTAGAACCTCGTAGATGTAGCCGAGACTAAGATGACTTTGGAAGATTAAGGAATTTATGTCAATATAAAAAAACAAACAACAACAAAACCAAAAACCTGGACAAGTCTGAATGTTTTTTTCCAGATTTTCAAAACATTTATCCTTGCTACTTGGCTCTGGAGCGTCTGTCCCCATGTGCCCAAAGATGAGCCAGCTGGCCTGGTTGAACAGAGAATTGTAGCTAGAGCTTAGGAAAAAAAAGAGGGTTTATGATCTTTGGAAAAGAGGGCAGGCCACTCAGAAGGATTACAAGGATGTTGTAAGGATGTGTAGGGACAAAACTAGAAAGGCCAAAGCTCATCTGGAGCTCAATCTAACTATTGCTTTTAAAGACAACAGAAAAAGTTTTTATAAACACATCAGCACGAAAAGGAGGACTAAGGAGAATCTCCATCCTTTGCTGGATGCGGGGGGAAATTTAGTGATGAGAGATGAGGAGAAGACTGAGGTGCTTAATGCCTTCTTTGCCTCAGTCTTTAGCAGCAAAACTAGTTGTTCTCTGGATACCCAGTACCCTGAACTGGTGGAAGGGGATGGGGAGCAGGATGTGGCCCTCACAATCCATGAGGAAATGGCTGGTGACCTGCTACAGCATTTAGATGTACACAAGTTGATGGGGCCATATGGGGTCCACCCGAAAGTACTGAGAGAACTGGTGGAAGAACTGGCCAAACCACTTTCCATCATTAATCAGCAGTCCTGGCTCTCAGGGGAGGTCCCAGTCGACTAGCAGCTAGCAAATGTGATGCCCATCTACAAAAAGGGCCAGAAGGTAGACCCAGGAAACTATAGGCCTGTTAGTTTGACCTCAGTGCCAGGGAAGCTCACAGAGCAGATTATCTTGAGTGTTATCATGCTGCACTTGCAGGGCAACCAGGTGATCAGACCCAGTCAGCATGGGTTTATGAAAGGCAGGTCCTGCTTGATGAACCAGAGCTCTTTCTATGACAAAGTGACATGCTTAGTGGTTGAGGGAAAGGCTGTGGATGTGGTCTACCTTGACTTCAGTAAGGCTTTTGACACCATTTCCCACAGCTTCTCATTGAGAAACTGGCTACTCTTGGCTTGGACTGGCATATGCTTTGTTGGGTTAGAAACTGGCTGGGTAACCAGGCCCAAAGAGTAGTGGAATAGTGGTGAATGGAGTTTGATCCAGCTGGAGGCTGGTCACTAGTGGAGTCCCCCAGGACTCAGTACTAGGGCCAGTTCCCTTTAATATCTTTATCAATGATCTGGATGAGGGGATTGAGTGCACCCTCATTAAGTTTGTGAATGACCAAATTAGTACCAAGTTAGGTACGTTTGTTGATCTGCTCGAGGGTAGGAAGGCTCTGCTGCAGGATCTGGATAGGCTGGATCGATGGGCTGAGGCCAACTGTAAGAAGTTCAACAAGGCCAAGTGCTGGGTCCTGCACCTGGGGCAAAAAAACCCCAAGCAGAGCTACAGGCTGGAAGATGAGTGGTTAGAAAGCTGCCAGACAGAGAAGTACCCGGGAGTATTGGTGGATAGTCGGCTGAATATAATCCAGCAGTGTGCTCAGGTGGCCAAGAAGGCCAACAGCATCCTGGCTTGTATAAGAAGTAGTATGGCTAGCAAGGCTAGGGAAGTGATTGTCCCTCTGTACTCAGCTCTAGTGAGGCCACACCTCAAGTACTGTGTTCAGTTTTTGGTCCCTCACTACAGGAAGGACATGGAGGTGCTCGAGCAAGTCCAAAGAAGGACAACGAAGCTGGTGAGGGGTCTGGAGAACAAGTCTTGAGGAGCAGCTGAGGGAGCTGGGATAGTTCAGTCTGGAGAAGAGGAGGCTCAGGGGCAACCTTACTGCACTCTACAGGTACCTTAAAGGAGGCTGTAGCGAGGTGGGGGTTGGTCTATTCTCCCACATGCCTGGTGACAGGATGAGGGGGAATGGGCTTAAGTTGTGCCAGGGAAGGTTTAGGTTGGATGTTAGCAAGAACTTCTTTACTGAAAGGGTTGTTAGGGATTGGAATAGGCTGCCCAGGGAAGTGGTTGAATCACCATCCCTGGAGGTCTTTAAAAGACGTTTAGATGTAGAGCTTAGTGATATAGTTTAGTGGAGGACTTTTTAGTGTTAGGTTAGTGATTGGACTAGCTGATCTTGGAGGTCTCTTCCAACCTAGATGATTCTGTGATTCTGTGAACTTATTTTCTTTGATTAGGTGAGCAGTGTAGGAGAGACATATGGAGTGTCCTTAGAGGCAGGTTATTCATGCCTCTTCTTCAGACTGCTGGCACACTCCCTTCAGTATGCCTCATCTCACAAACCTAGGTAAGTAGGAAACCTAACCTGATTCTAAATGCAGATATTACAGATGGCATATTTGTTTGGAAGAGTCTTTCTCAAATGTTTTTACCATGTGTTTTCTATTAAATATCTCTAATATATTTTATACAAATAACAATTATTACTGGTATTTCACATGATGTGCTTATGCATATTGGCTATTCTTACCTAGTAAGAAGAATCTACATGGGATTAATTTTAGGATTATTTAAAACTAAAGCTTTAGTTTCTTCATATCTGGCCTTCAGACCAGGACTTTCAGCAGGAAAATTTCTGTCAAATGGGCAGGAAGATACCGGGAATATTGACTTGACTTTGGGAATGTAGGCTTGTGGAAATGGAAGCAATTAATAAAGTTCAATAAAAAAAAATGAAATAAAGGAAGAGTTGAAACATCACTCTCCGACAGTTCTATCATATTTTAAACATGTTTTTGAATATGAAACAAATCCAAGACCATAGCTCAACAAGGCATCCATTTAATTAGATATTTCCTGTGTGGGCAGAATATATTGTAATGGCTTTGACAAGTAGGCCTTTCTCAGATTCACATAACAGAGATATTGATAAATAAAAAAGATAACTAAGAATTAAAGAAATTTTTACTTTAAATCAACCTGAAGAATTAATTGAAGAAGCAGTTTTTTGAGTACATTTCTTCTCATGCTTAGTGTTTACTTGAAATAACATATTGTTTTATATCATGGACCCAAGTTCTTGGCTTGGTATCAACTCCTCAGCTTTTCTTTGAGTCACAATGGTTTCCACCAAATGAAAGAACTTCTTCTTATACATCTTTGACTAATAATAATAAGAAGAAGATTTTTGCTTTAATTTCATCCTGAGTTCAAAAATCTGTAATCTATTCTTTGTAACAACTGTGTGCATAGTTTCAAGAACTGTATTGACACCATTCCACCAAAACAGATGTTATCAAATTTTCAGATGAAAAGGAGATATTTTTGACCAAGATGTGAAATATTTAATATAAAATACAAAAGGACAAAGTTTAATTTATTCTCAAGCTTCAACTGAAACATAAACCAGTTAATTTTATTTGAAATCCCAAAGGCTTCAAAGAACATTTTCAATTAAGTTTCCTCACATTATTTTGCAGGCTCATGAGATCTGAACATTTAATTGTTTTGCCTGCCCTGAGTTTTGAGTTTTGTCTTTCATTGATCCCTAAAATACAACTGTTCATTTCACTGCTACAAAAAGCAGGTAAGTATGCCTAGGTTAATGGGGTTGGTCAAGAAATATTAAAATGAATGATACTATGTTAGAAAACTAAGGGGAACAGGAAAAAAAAATCTTCTCCAGGTGAGACCACCTCCATTTATGAGCACTTACATATGGTTTAGGTCCTCACTTGTGTGGGGAAAAAAAACAAACAAACAAACCTGGATTTAATTATTCGTTAGTGTCAACAATAAATAGACTAATTGTTGGACAATGCAGTGAAACATTAGAAGGTTGAATGCAAAATTACACAAAGAAACTTTCATTCATAAGTGTAAAGTATTTTAATTTGAACAGCTTTAGTAATAAGCAAATTTTCAAAAGTTTACATATTGTTTATTTTCTGTAACCGTAAAGAAGTATTCATCTTCATGCAAACTATTTTGGAAATTCTGGTATTAACTTTTTCTTTCTTTTATCCACTTATGAATATCAGCCCACTACAGCAGCTATTACACCTTGCCCTCTTCCTCCCAATGTTCTCAGAAGTGGCTCAGCAGGATTGTGCATTTTCATAAATGTTCTTCTCTCTTTCATTTTCACAAAAGAAAAATGGAAATATAGAAACTCTATAATTATTTTGTGCCAACTGTAGCAAAGCTGAAAAAAAAATAAAATCTTTGTAATCTAAAGCACTTTCTTCCAAGTGTGAAAACTGTTAATAGTGACTCCCTGTAGCTAACAGCAGTTTAAGCGCTGGAGCAGAATATTAAACAGTGGTTTCTCTTTGTAGAATGTGAAGCTCTTTCTTCAGTCCCCAAAGCTAGTACTACTCTACCTGTCACCAGCTGTCTCCTATATACAGTGTGTGAAACAGTAAGCAAATACAGAGGTGTCAAAATGGACTTGCAGTTACAAATGATGATTTATTTTTCTCTTAATGAGGAGTAGAACAATAAAATCTCTTACAAAACCCCAAGTGGGGGAACAAGTAGAGTAAACGCTGAGTTACCCTACTTTGTACATGAGCTCTATTTTTCCATGATGGCATATCACCCACTTCAGTGAAACAACTTTCAGTGCCAGCATCCATGTTCCTGTGAAGGAGTCAGTGGCAGGGCAGGGAAAAGTTTTGACTTCTTATGCGTCCTAGAATTTTACAGGTTGTTCTAAGAAAACAAGCTCTTATTGCCTTCTGGGCAGGTGATAAACAAACTAACATAAAGACAACTTTTTGGTTATTTTTTTGTTCTTTATTTTATTTTATTATTTTTATTTTATTTTATTTTATTTTATTTTATTTTATTTTATTTTATTTTATTTTATTTTATTTTATTTTATTTTATTTTATTTTATTTTATTTTATTTTATTCTCATCATTTACCTCTTCACTATTCTCTGTTGAAACAAAGATGGTATGTTAAAAGCATCAGGTTTGTTAGGTTTGTTTCCCTATCTTAAATCCTGGATGAAGACTAGTTAAGCCACACTTAAGAATCTGTCCTCATATGTGAGGGAACTGTACACTATGGCTTCTGAAATAGCCACAATGAAAGGCTATAGTGCTCTTTTAGAGTTTCCTTTGTTTTTTCTTCATGCATACATCTAATTGCTAAACTTACAAGTTTGATTAAGAAAAACCTTTTGCTATGAAAGTCATCTACATTTATCATAACAGAGGAAATAATTATTGATATTTTCCTTTCTTCTGTGAACTCAGAAAGAAAAATGAAGACCAAGACAAAAAAAACTGCAGAGTTGTCATTTTCTATGAACCATACAGAAGCATTGTAGATAACCAGTTGTAACAGAGAACAAAGTCAGTAAATCATTTCATTTTTGTTATTAAGTTTAAAGGTGCAGTTAATGGCTTTACTAAGACAATCAAACAAATCATAATGGATAATATATTCATCTAATTGTGGTTCATATGTTGCTTATGAAATATTTGAAAACAGATCCAGAAATTCATCGATGCTTTTTATGTGAATAATTGACAAGATATACTTACCATAATTTATTGTGTCATGACTTAGGATGAAAACTTCAGAATTCTCTGTGTTTGGTTACAGTGCAAAGTAAGACTTGAGTAAGATGCTGAATGTTCTCGAACAGTCTAAGATATTTATTTTTTCCCCTTGGTGAAGTTTTTGATGGCATTTTCATGATTTGGTTGCTTTCTTCTACCCAGCAGTAGAGATGAGTTTCCCTCAGAAAAAAATGACTTAGCTCCAAGGACTATTATTACAAAGGAATCTGAAAGATCGGGAAGCCATTTAAGAAGTAATAAAAACTTTTCCATTACCATTACAGTGAATAATATAAAAAGCATAGGCTGTTGTTATTAGGAGGCTGGATATTACCCATGGAGACAGGTAGGCTTAGCTATGTCAACTGAACAATATTAGAAGTGAAGGATGTACAAACACTGCTAAAGAAGACAGCCATACAATGCATTACAGCACTGATTGCTGTGATTATCCACAGAATTTCATTGTTAGTCCCCTCACTGGCTCTCTTTTGAACCACTCCAATGGGTACTACCAAGATAAATCTGTTCCAAAAGTGGCAAGCCCAAAAGCAACATCAACACTAGCTTCTGCATAATAACTACTTGATTTTTGCAACACTGGTCTGTATTTGTCACTCTTGCATTCAGTGGCATAGAAATAACCAGACAGAGAGCTGCCCAAAGGTAAGAGGTCAGGAGATATTCTTTTTCATCTAACCTCTGTGTTCACCCTACTGTGCAAGCTTGCTCCTGCACCTTTTTTTTTTTTTAAACACTTTTAGATCTACAGATGACAAGGGCTATGTAAGTGCTAAATGTTGATTAATTACTGTTATTACAAGCATCACAAGGTTGGCATGCTGGGCCAGTTCAGTGTGAGGGCCCTAAACACAATCAATGAAAGATCAGTGGGAACTGGCATTGGTTCCTGCAGAGTGCTGTACTACTATACAGAAAATGGTTTATTTTTCCCCTCTTTAAAAGCTAATTGCTCTTTGTTATTGTTTAACATCATGTAATTGAACTAGCTGCAAAGGAAAAATAGTTGTTCTTTTTGGATCGGGTTGTAAATATCCATTAGAAAGTACCTAATGTGAAATCGTGACTACAGAGGGAAGTAGAAAAACCCCAAGGGCACCATATTCCCTTCTTAGAGAGCTTGATCTTCCTACTTGCAAATTAGCATAATTAGAGTCTTACACATCCCTATGTTGTAAGGAGACTAGCATCCCAGCTACAAAATACTACAGTGCAAATGCAGTTGCTGACACTGCTGTATGACATGGCAGTAGCTTCCCATCTGTTGAACCAGAACTGAATTCCTAATGGCAGGCAATAAAAAAATACAAGAAAGTTTAAGATATAACTTTTTATTTTACCAAGTTGCAGTTCTGACGTAACTGGAGAGAGGTGCAGAATAGAAAAGAGGAGACATAATCAAAGGACTTATACATACTGTATATTTATACATACAAAACAGTCATAAATACAAATAACAGTTCATTGCTTAATCTTTCAATAAAACAGAATTGTGCTAAATATATCTATAATGATAGTTTCCTTGCTGTCTCTGATTGCAGAGGCTTCTGTTCTTTTATAGATATCAGCTTGATGAAGAACTGTTTTGCTTTAGATAGTATCTAGACTGTGGCTGTCAGAGCAACAGCTGAAGGTGAGAACTTGTAGAAATTAACATTACTAGCAGTTCTGGATCAAATCAACATATCCCAAAGTGTAATGATCTGTAGATGCAGAGCTCTCATAACTAAATAGTATTTTGGTCAAGATTATGAGGACAGAAAAAATAAATTAGTCTTAAAAGGTCAGTTTTGTGTTTGAAAAGGCTAAATTGAGAAAAGGAGATATTTAGGATCTTAAAAATTGCTACCAAGAAAGCTGTTAAGGCTGGTTGCATATGCTAAAAGTGCAACCAAATAAAACAGAGAGCATACACTGATGATAAAGGAAAAAAAAAAAAAAAAGTTTCTTCAGAATAAATAAGAGGGGGACAGAGGGAAGTAGCAGATTGGTTGAGGTGCCAAGAAGCAACCACATATTTAGACCAGTAAAAATCTTTATTAAAATTCTTTGTTATGCAGTTGCTGCAACTGGAGTTTTCATTCCAGTCCTATGGACTATGTGTGTTATCCCGAATTTATCTGAACTGCAATTTGTATTGTCCACCAAGAATCACACACAACCCTTACACTTCCATACTGAAAATGTCTGCCTTTAAAGTGTGATGACTATGTAGGAATTCAGTTTGAGAATACTACAGACAGGAGGATTAGGCAGGACACAGTTTTAGTTTCTCTTGAGTAAACACAAAGCCAATAAAAGTAATAGTGTTTCTAACAGTCTAATGAAGATTCTTTATGCATAAGGTTAATAAGAAAATGAACATTTTTTTTTCTGCTTTAAAAAGCAGCTGTATGAATTGCACATAAGATGGCTCCTGTCTGCTGCTTTATAACAGATACTGACTCGAATCCCTTATATCAGGATAGATAAAAGAGCAATTTAAAAAACAACTCAGATGTTTAATTTTATCTCCTTTTTTTCTTTCATAAGCAAATACAACTTTTAACAAATGTGTGACATTCAATTTTTCATTTGGTGGCTATCATTCTTCCTTATAGTTTTTGTTTGCCATTAGACATTTACTACTGCACCAGATGCCAGTTTCATTCTTCGTTACAGCATGGTTTGTTCTGCTTAAGCATGATCCATTCTGGCTAGATTTTTATCATCAGTTTATTATCATTACAGGCTGCTATGAGTATCTGCTTTGATTACAAAACTGCTTTCTCTTTGCCATGTGGCTTCTCTAAACATTGATTCTAGATATTATTTCATGTCAGAAATAAACATTTACTTCATTTGCCCACCATTCTCTTGTGTTATACAGGGATATTTCCGTGTTATGGAATATTTATTCAGTGCTTCACTGTTCCTGTTTCTGTTGTGTTTGCCACTTGTTAAACCTGTGAAACTGTCTTGATATTCTTGATATATCTATACAGAAAATTGATGTATAATGTGCCACACTGATACATAGTGCTGAAACATGGTTTAAGCTTAAGCTACGGCATCTTACAGTTGTCATAAAAAATAAAAGAATTAACATTTATGTTACCAAAAAAAAAAAAAAATCTGAACACTGTATTCTGAAATTTAATTTGGCGTAGTATGTTTTCTAGGGAATGGCCTGAGGCTGCAGAGTTATGATCTGAAAATTTAATTTGGAGACATCGCTAAAGGTATGTTTAATCTCTGTCTAACTGTAAAGCTCTCTCATGTACAAATTGCTTTGATTTTATTACACAGATCATGACAACAGCTGGGGTCAGCAGAGGTAGTAACTGGATGTCTACAGCAAGAGAGTGTGATCTAATTCCTTCCCCAAGGAACAGTGGAAATACAGTCTGGAGGCCAATCATTTTGATTGGTGTGGGCATTTTTCCAAGCACAAGAAGAGTTTTGAAATACTAGAGGCTAGATGCAAGGAGGCAGGAGATTAGAAGATAAATGGTCTTTGTGTAACCTTCAGGCTATTGGGGGTCTTGTGATCAAATGTTGCTCTGGACATGTTGAATTAACTTCATCCTGAATTGTAGGACACTGAACCCCA